TAGCTCATTTCATCCCAGTGAAGACTACCTATACCAGCGCTAAGTTAGCAAAGATATACATGACCAGGATCGTATGTCTGCATGGAGTTCCAAGGAGCATTGTATCAGATAGAGGAACCCAGTTTACCTCAAAGTTCTGGAATCAGTTGCATGAAACTTTGGGTACCAGGCTAGAGTTCAGTACAGCTTTTCATCCACGGACAGATGGACAGACCGAGAGAGTCAATCAGATTTTGGAGGATATGCTGAGAGCTTATGCGCTAGATTACGGATCTAGTTGGGACGAGAATTTGCCATACGTAGAGTTCTCTTACAACAACAGTTATCAATCCAGTTTGAAGATGGCCCCTTTCGAAGCCTTGTACGGAAGGAGGTGCAGGACCCCATTGTCGTGGGATGAAGTTGGAGACCGTTAGTTGTTTGGACCGGATCTGATTAAGGAGTCTGAACAGAAAGTAAAATTGATTCGCGATAGGCTCAAGGTAGCCCAGTCCAGGCAGAAGAGCTACGCAGATTCAAAACGCAAGGAGACAGTTTACGAAGTTGGAGACCGAGTCTATCTTCGAGTATCTCCACTTCGAGGAGTTAAGCACTTTGGAGTTAAGGGAAAGTTAGCGCCACGTTTTGTAGGACCATACAAGGTTTTGGAGCGTATGGGAGAAGTATCCTATAAGTTGGAATTGCCCGAAGGATTGTCAGGAGTTCACGACGTGTTCCACGTTTCACAATTGAAGAAGTGCCACGCGGAGGTGACTGATATACCGCTGAGAGACACAGTGCCGCTGGAAGCGATTCAGTTGGACAGTGATTTGACCTATGAGGAGAAACCAGTCAAGATTCTTGAGTATGCCAGCCGAGTCACCCGCAACAAGGTTATCAAGTTTTGCAAAGTTCAGTGAAGCCACCACACGGAGGATGAAGCCACCTGGGAACGAGAGGAAGAATTGCTGAAGGACCACCCTCACCTATTTTCTAGCCAACCCGAATCTCGAGGGCGAGATTCATCTTAAGGTGGGTAGGTTTGTAACATCCCAAATTTTTAATTTGGAATGTTATACAATAGATCATTATTGCATATCATATTTTATTGCATTTTGGTTAATCCAGAAATTTCACGCAACTCAAGGACCCTTAGAGAGAGTTGGGGATTTCGTTATTTTCATATTTGAGTTTTCTCAAATTATGAACATAGGATCATTTTATTTTATTTATTTCATCTTCAATTGTTTCTATTATAAAAATATGAGAGAGGGAATAAAATGACTTTCCCAAAATAAAGAAATATTAAGGATTTAATAAAAAAATCAAATAAGATTTTATTTTGGATTTATTTGCTATTTTATTTGAATTTAGGAAAAATGCGCGCTTTTCAAAATTGCATTTAGGCCCCAAATAAATGTTCATCCTATGCGGCTTAATTTTAGAAGCCGGGGAAAATTTATTTCGGAATTTTTGGAGTCCGTTTAGTATTCCTTTTGTTTTTTCTGAGCGTAATTATTTATATAAAAAAAGTCTGAACCGACCTTGGGCCGTGTCCGGTCAGGACTCCGCCTGGCCGGGGCTTTATATAGCGCGACCCTGGGCCGCCCCCAGCCCAAGCTGCGCCGCTCGCCCAAACCCTAGCCGCGCGCGCCCGAGCCGCCGCCGCCGCCGCCCTGCCGCCGCCGCTGCCGCGCCGCCGCCCTGCCGCCGCCGACGAGGTTGTCCTGCCGCCGGTTTTTTTTAGAAAACTGTTGGTTTTCACTGGTTTTTTTCGGTTTTTTTGATTCGTTTTTTAGATAGATCGACTTTTTTTCTCGGTTTAGTTATTTAGTGAGCGTATGCTCGTTCGTTCGTTTTAAGGAACGCGTTCATCATTTAGATCTAGATAACAAACGTTCGTTCGTTAATCTGTTCATCGTTTTTCTTTTTCTCGGATTAAATCCGCGATTTTTCTGATCGCGATTTCTGATCCGATTTTCGTTCTAGTATAACTTTTCGCTCGTTTATCGGAATCAGGTGATTCAAGCGCCTGGAGTTTCGCCTCGAAACCCTCTTTCCGTTTAAGCAACTCAAATAAGTTTTTGCATCTGTAAAATTTGACCTAGATCCATAATAGTAAACCAAGCTTGTTTCTTTTACCGTTTGTCTTTCGTCGCTTCGTTCGATTTGATTCTTTTTGCCAACCGGAGTTCTTAAGTTAAACTTTCTGGTTAATTCTCTTATTTAAGTTTTACCTGTGTATTAGTTGAGTACTTATTGTATGCTTGTTTGTTTGCGATAGAGTACCCGGAGTGCACCGCTTGCTACTTCGAATCGCTAGGTTTTGCGGATCATCAGCAAGGCAAGTAACACTTTGATCATACCTCCTACTACCCAGTTTTTATTGCATTAGATCAAGCCTCACACATTGCATGATTAGGATCTAATTAAATTGTGGGTTTGGGAAGTATATGAGGTAGTACCTATCACCTGTTTTATTATCAATCCTTTGGGAGTTACTTCTACGTTTGCTTATTATGCTATGCTATGCTAGTAGAGGTGGATTGGGTGAGTGTATTCATGACAGATGTGAGATTGTTAAATTAATGGTTTATATAAGGTGGCAACTTAAATACACATCTAGGTGGATTGAGGCACCTAGGTATTCCAGCGATTGCCTGTTTTTCTTTTGAACCGCTACCCAGGCTCAAAGGGATCATGAGATTATTCATACTAGAAACTTCCGTGTGCAGCCACAAGCTATTATGGGCTCTAGCATAGTTGACTAAGTTGTGCGAACTCTTACAGTGGTAGACTAGCAGATGTGGGGGAAAGTAGGTGTACCAGTCTACCCTATCGTAAGGTGCTAGCGCTTCTGAAAGACTATGTCTCGGTCATCCATTTCTCAAACACCATGAAGTACGAGAATCCCAACGGAGAATACCGGGTCTTGTGGGGAAAAGTGCGCAAACCTCTGCAGAGTGTATAAACTAATCATGGTTAGCCGTGTCCCCGGTTATGGACATCTTGAGTATTTAGTACTTGGATTATCATGTGAATCTCATCATGTTACTCTAATTAATTTGTTGGGTTTTTAATGATGATGTTTAATTGGGATTGAGAGGGTGTCTACACTCTCAATGTTTAACAACTACCATGATAGTTAAATAAAATTTATTCCTTTGCAATAGGGAAAAATTGACTTTATGCAAAACTGTAACCATAGATCTTTCCACCAGCGAAATATGCATGTAGTATAGTCTTATTCCTTCATTGCTCTCTATGTGTTATATTGCCAGCATATTTCATGTGCTGACCCGTTTCGGGCTGCAACGTTCATATTGCAGACTTTTCAGACGACGAGTAAGGTGCTTTTAGGTCGTGGTTCTATACCCAGTGATGCCGTTGGAGTTGATGGACTCACTTATCTTCCAGGCCTTCCGATGTTATCGTTATTAGACAGCCTTAAGACATATTTATTGTAATAAGTTCTCTTTTGAGACACTCGATGTATTAAGTGTGTGATTGCTACTCTGTTGTAAATCTTTCAAGTACTGTGTGGTGTCAGCATTACTGATCCAGGGATGACACCGGAGCACAGAGATTGGACCGTTTGAGGTCTGGTCGCTACAACAATACATGGGTGTATGCATCCTAGTGCTTCGTATGCTCCTGATATTGTGATGTTGTATAGGCCAGATGTATTTGGTATCATCTTCTTGATCTTTGATATTAATATACATTGATTTTATTTATAGAAGAAAATATCAGGAGAACAAAGATGTTATTAAATGGGGTTTAGGTGTGAAGGCATCATTCACAACTAAATCTGTGTATTCCCTTCTGGGGAAAACATTGTTGGGTGTGACTACAGATGGATCTGGAATGCCAGAATTTCGTTAAAAATTCAGATATTTTTATGGCAGTTATTTCAAAATGTTGTTTTGACTAGAGATGCGATGAAACATCGGGGATGGAAAGGGAATCCTAAGTGCTCCTTTTGCGGGGGTCGTGAGACCTCGCATCACTTGTTTTTCACATGCCCAGTTGCTAGGGTAACTTGGAGAACTATTGCATGCATGTTTGGCACCGAGCTGTGTCCTGGTAATATTTGGCAAGCTTTTGTGTGGTGCTTTCTTTTTTCCCTGGAGGAGAAGAGTTTTACACTCTGGGGATTGCGGCCGTGTGTTGGGCGATATGGACTTGTCGTAATAGAGCTACCTTCGAATTTAAACCTCTTAAAACCCCGTTTGAATGCATATTTTCTGCTTGTGCTTTACTTTGTTACTGGGCAGGGCTGCTGAAGCAAGAGGACACCGCAAGCATGAGGGATGGGGCAAAGATGCTGAAGGAGAACGCATCGATGATGATGAGGATCTGTGCTGCAAGTCAGGAAGAAGCGACGCGCTGAGGGCGTGCACTTCATTCTGGTGATGATTGTGCTGTTTAGGCGCCCTGGACTATCTTTGTTCTTTTAATTCCTTCCATGTGTGGGACTGGCCTTTTGATACTCATATGTGAGCGGTTGTTTGTTGATGCAAGGGCTCTTAGGCCTGAATTTAGAATGATATATGTTGTCGTCGGATTTTCGTCCCACAGTGGGTAATCTTGACGGCGAGTGCTCACAGTGGATTTCCCGACGATGCTTGAACTCGCTATCCTCTTTCCTTTCTTTTCTGAACTTTTGTATTTCCGTTATGTCACGGTAATGGAAAGGGGCTATGCCCGGTTAAAAAAAATTATAGAAGAAAATAGGCTGTACGGAAACAATGAGAAAAAAAACCTTATGCTTATAGGGCCGGGCAATGTTGGGCTTGGGCTGCTACGGTTCCATCTTATCCGCCAAATCCAATCCAATCCAATGTCAGCTTAAGCGGTACGCTAAAATCGTCCGTCTCCGCGTAGGAAATAAGCAACGGGGAGTCCTCCGCTGCCCCCAAATCGGCAACCGCCCCTCCGCAAAACTCTGCTCCGCCGCGATCGATTTCCCCTCATAAACCAACCCCAATCCAATCCGGCCACCCCCCTCGACGGCGAACATGGCGGACTGGGCGGGGCTCCACGAGGACTTCCTCCTCCTGCTCGTCCCGCGCCTGCCCTCCCTCGACCTCCGCACCTTCCGCACCGTCTGCGCCTCCTGGCGCGCCGCCGCGGCCACCTTCGCCTCGGCCGGCGGCCGCCCGCGCCCCGACCGCCCCTGGCTCCTCCTCCCCGCCGACGCGCCCGACCCGGAATTTCGCCGCCTCGCCATCTGCCGCGACCAAGAGGTCCCCGTCGTCACCCTCCCCGCGCGCCTCGGCCGCGCGCACGACCGCCGCCTGTTCCCCCTCGGGTCCTCCCGCGGCGTCATCGTGGCCGCCGACGACCACGGGGCCATGCACCTGCTCGACCTCGCCACCGGTCGGCGCGCGCCTCTCCCCCCCGTCGCCGCGCTCCCTCTCGCCGACCGCGTCGAGAGGACCCCTGCCGGCCTCAGTGTCCGCCTCAAACGCGACCCACGGGTCTACTCCATCGACGGCCTGATCCACCGCGACGACACCCTGATCCACAAGGCCGTCGCGGTGCCCACGCCCGGTGGCGGGGCGATGGTGATCGTCATCTACTCCCCGCATAGCCATCGCCACCAGTGGGCCACCGCTCGTCCCGGCGACAGCACCTGGAAATCCGTGAAGCCGAGCAGCATCCCCGCCGTGGTGGACCTGGCGCTCCACCGCGGCCAGCTCTACGCCAACACCCTCTTCGGGATGGTGTACGTCTACCCGGAGCTGCACGGGCTGGGCTCCGCGTCCCCGGATATCATCCCGTCCGAGACGCGGAGGCCAACCTCGCGCGTGGAGAGCAGCTTTCTCGTGCAGACCCCCGGCGGCGGCGCGCTGATGCAGGTGGAGCGTGTCAACCCGGTGGCGCCGGCCGAGAGCGAGGAGTTCGTGGCGCCAGCCGAGGGCGAGGAGTTCGTGGTTCGCGTGCTGGACGAGTGCGGCGGGACGTGGGAGGAGGAGGAGGACATCGGCGACGTCGCGCTGCTCGTGGATGCGTCCGGCGCGGTGGCCGTGTCCACGCGGGAGTGCCCCGGGCTACGGCCCAGCACCATCTACTACGCGGACCTCAACGGTGGCGAGACACGGGTCCGGGCGTACAGCCTCGCCGGCAAGCACAAGAAGGTCGAGGTCGTCGAGTCCCTCCCGGGGGCGGAGGGAAACAAGCGGCCGTGCTTCTGGTTCACGCCGGTCTATTCACAGTGACAATGAGGTCTGATCATGATCAATGTCCGTTTTTAGTCTTGCTGAATTGCTAGGCGTCGTTTGAATTCTTGCATAATGCCTTGCGGCCGCCATGTGCAAGAGCCAAGAAGCTCGGTTTATTTGTTGGTCGTCTGATCGTGATGCGGTGTCCGTGTGTGTCTACGAGTTGTGCAATGCAAGTTCATCGAGAGTCTCTAGTGCTAGGAATTTTGTGTGTGCAGACCAATGCTATGCATCCTATATCTTATACAGGAGTTTATGTACATACAGAAACTGAACCTGCATCTGTGTATGTCGTCACCAATTTTCGCAATTCTTGAATCGCTTTTTTAATGGGCCACGCTACGCGTCCGCCGATGGATGACTAGTAAACATCCGCCGCCGAGGAGCTCTCCCAGGTGGAGTGGCGGACAGCACAAAGGTTGATGTTGCCGGCCTGGGTTCGAGTCTCCTCATTCTCCTATAAGAATAAGACAGGGGGCTGCTTTCCCTCTATTCTCATTCTTTTTGTAAACATCCGCCGCCTCGCTAGCCGTTGGATGGACGTGAGGATGTCCATCCGATCTACCCACCCATGAACGCTACTTTCCTTTCGCAACAAGAGCAATGTTGTAGAACACGTCCCGCAACATGATGCTTGTTGCAAAATATCGGGACCGCTATTTAACTTTCTGAAACACTGTCCATGTCGAAGAATTTTTTGCAACTGAGGTCTTGTTGCAGATTTTTTTTTACAATTGAGGTTTGTTGAAAAAAAAAATTGTCTTCACTTTTTTGCAACTTAGCTTATGTTACGGGAGAAAGTTCTGCAACATTGATGTTGTTCCAGAAAAATTTGAGGGGTCATGGAGTCAGGGGCACATGTCATGTAGGACACGTGTTCATTCCTCTTGCAACAAGGTCTTTGTTGTAAATATTTTTTTTGTAAAATTTTTTGCAACAAAGGTCTTGTTGCAAAACTTTTTTTCTCTAATTTTCTGCAACAAGACCTATATTATGTAATATCTTCTTCTCTAATTTACTGCAACAAAACTCTTATTACAAAAATTGCCGCAACATCTTTGTCGCATCTAATTTTCTGCAACAAGAACATGTTGCAAAAATTACAACACATCTCAGGCCACGTCATGCTCTTGTGTAGTCATCGTTCACTGGCATCATTCTGAAACAACATAGTTGTTCCAAAAAAGGACGCGGGGGAGAAACGTGCGTGGTCAAGCAGGCCACGCGAGGTGGCAGATGCCTCGCGCCAAATCGGCCGGTTGATTATAATTATTTCCTTTTTTTAATCGCTTGATTGATTTTGTAACTACGTAGGTAACGTTCCCTTAGTGAGTTGAATGGATACCCTGCTTAACTGAATATTTTCTCTCAAATATACTGAATCCCTCATCCTATGGCCTTTGCAGCTATGGTGAAGGGTGAATATTCCATCTATATTAGTATGTTGGATGCTTCCACCATGAGCTGGATGGTTGAATACAGACACAAGGCTGCATTTGGCATCATTAAGAGAAGAACAACACAGCAGCTTAATGTGGTTCATTAGAGATGACAAGGATCTTTACTCTCCACCTGGGAAAGTTATCTACATAAGGTCCATCTATGCCAAAAAGTTTGGCATCATTATTAACGTTCATCTATATCTATTTCTATATCTATATCTATACCAATATAAAAGAATGCAAAGAGGCAGATCCAAATAATCTTGACCGTCAAACAAGGTCAATCCAACGACCTAGACTACCCCAATGGCGAGCGCTCAACATGTTTAGCGTGTAATTAATATCATATCAAATAAAAATGTTAGAATAAATCACATAATTAACATGCAAGATGATATTCTATCTAATATCCACGTGCAATTAATATATTGCCTAATATTAACGTGCATTGCATGTACACATTTACTGGTTGCCGGAAAAGAGGAGCCAACGTTATAAACATCAAAATTTCGATAATAACAACTGGCGAACGTTAGTAAATTCTGCCATTTTCTTGTCACAAAATATCTCTTCTTAGAAAATGTCATGTGTTTCTCAAAAAACTGTCAACCCCATGCAACCAAATTTGCTATCTAAAACGTTCACAAATGGCAACCCCTCTGAGCGAACCGTTCACTAGCTATTGCAGTCTAAAATATAAAGTATGAATTTAGCATGCAATGAGATGAATTGAAGATATGTCTACTTGTTATTCTAATCCGTATCAATGATGGGTTGAAAACAAAAATGACCTTTTATCTATACCAATATAAAAAGACGCAAAGAGGCAGATCTAAATAATCTTGACAGTCATGCGAGGTCAATTCAACGACTTAGACTGCTCCAATGGCGAGCGCTCAACATGTTTAGTGTGTAATTAATATCATATCAAATAAAAATGTTAGAATAAATCACATAATTAACATGCAAGATGATATTCTATCTGATATCCACGTGTAATTAATATATTGCCTAATATTAATGTGCATTGCATGTACATATTTACTAGTTGCTGAAAAAGAGGAGCCAACGTTATAGACATCAAAATTTCAATAATGATAACTGGCGAACGTTAGTAAATTCTGCCATTTTTTTTGTCACAAAATATCTATTCTTAGAAAATGTCATGTGTTTCTGAAAAAACTGTCAACCCCATGCAACCAAATTTGCTATCTAAAACGTTCACAAATGGCAACCCCTCCGAGCGAACCGTTCACCAGCTATTGCGGTCTAAAATATAAGTATGAATTTAGCATGCAATGAGATGAATTGTAGATATGTCTACTTGTTATTCTAATCCGTATCAACGATGGGATGAAATCGAAAAATGACCTTTTATTCATAGGGTCCGTCTAGGACACATCTAGATGTGACATAGTTATGTCACATTTAACCTGATGTCCACTATGCTTGTAGTCTATTTTTTTTGTCTCAGTTTTTCTTTGGTTTCTTGTTGCTGCGTTATTTGTGAGAGTTTAGATGTGATATCCTTAAAAAAACATCTAGATGTGAATTAGACAAACTATTATTCATAAGCGACACATGAAAATATTCAACGTTGGTCAGAATATCATCATATGCCACTAGAACATTTGCTGATTAAATCTCTAATCAAAACTTCTCATTAGTTCCATTTTGATTAGAAAGACATAAAATTACATAATGACCAACATGAACATTAGCCAAATTAATAGCCAACATTAACATAAAGCAACAATAATGCAATCCAATGTGTCATGGGGCACGATGACCCATAAGGTGGGGAGTAACTTAGACTAACGTCATGCATATGACATTAGTCTATGATACTACCTTCACACTGCAAAGTATCATAGAGGGGAGAATATCTGGTGCTTCGGGAGCTCCTGGTCCGTTCGATCTCAGATCCAGCGTCCACGGAGAGGGCTCATAATTTTTTAAAAATCCTGAGGAGTCTGATAATTACGTCGAGGTATTGTGCATCTTTAGATGACAGTTGGATCTAGATCCAATAGCAGTGCCCGCGCTGGAGCACCTAAGTTAGGTGCTCCCGGAGCACATGCTATTCTCCCTATCATAGAGCTAGTATCATAGATGATTGCATTTATTGGCCTATAGACTCAATTTTTCTAGACATGCGCTATGTGATGGTGATTAACATATTATGTTACCACAATCATCTTTTTTCTCATTTAATATTTGATTTTCCTGTCGACGACAACCTAGTACACCACATGTGTGCCCCAAAACCCTCACATTGCCTCCCCGCCTAGCTCCACTACGACTCCCAGCCGTGCTCCACCCCTTTGTGCGCCACCGATTCCTGTCGCCACCATCGCCGCCCACTTGACGACGCAAGGCGTGGGCTCCCACCCTAGGGTTTAGGGCCCCTGGGTTCACCCGCGCGAGCGACCCAGGAGGAGTCCTATGTGTAATTTGCGAACCCGTCTCCTTTAGTTTTATGTATAAAGCAGGACGAAAGCATAACTTAAACATTGCTTTGATTTTCCTGTCGATGACACACGTGTTCGAAATGGTCATCAAGTTTCAATCCACACCAGCACAATTTAGGGCCAGTTCTTTTGGGCGATTCTATCAGAATCGCCCCCTTCTCAGCTTCTCCCAGAATCACCATTCCATATGTTTTTTACAATCCTAGCTAATTAGACCTTAACTAAATAGGATTGTAAAAAAAATATGGAGTGACGATTCTGGGAGAAGCTGGAGAAGGGGGCGATTCTAGGAGAATCGCCGAAAAGAACTGGCCCTTAAGCTACAATCGTCCCTTTTCCAAACTTCACGGCGTGTGAAAGTGAGATTTCCCGTTCACCTAGGGCTAGTTTTCCATTTTGACCGTGCCTCGGCCGTGGGATCTCCAAACCACCGGTAGAACAGTCGCCGGCTGAGCCCGTGAAGTTCCAGTCTCTCCGAGGGCCTGAAGCAATCCAAGATTCGGAGGCGATCGCACCACGGTCCCGTCTCGCACAGTCGCGCATTCGCACCACCAGCGTCGCACGCATTCGCCCGCCTCCCTGTCCAGCCTCCAGCCACAAGTGACAAGTGACAAGTCCTCCTCCCCCCCTCCCAACGCGCTCCGCCGGGTCGCACCGCCGCCGCCGTCGCCGTCGACCGGACCCAGTCCTGACCCCGTTAAAAGCCCGGCCGGCGCGCGTGCTCGCTTCTCACTTCATTTTTCCTCTCAGAGAAAGGAAAGGGGGAAGGATAAACAAACAGACCAACAAACAAATCCACTGACGGCCGGGAGGAAGAAAAGGCGATGGGAACAGTGCTGGACTCCCACTTCCTGGCGCTCACCGCCCTCGTCACCGTAAATCTCTCGCGCCGCCTCCTCTGACCTCTCCTCTCCTCCCCCGCCGTCTCCGTCTCTCTGTTACCTGGCGTGTTTACTAACTGTTGCCGTTCTGGTGTTCTTGGTGGTGGTTGTGGTGCTAGGTCGGGTACCAGCTGGTGTTCTTCATCATCACAGCTCTCCTCCGCTTCGACAAGGTCACCGATTTCGCAGGTAGCACTCCACCTCCCGCGTCTTCTCCTCCTTCCTCCTTTCTTCTTGTTATTATTTTCTGTGGGGCGAATCTAGTTAAAGGCAGTGCTCTTGAAAAATATCTAGTTAAAGACCGGAGTCCATGAGCTCGATTTCTCAGCCCAGTAGGAAGCTGGTTTGGCAATTCTGTATTATGTTTTTTCGGAATCTTAATATATATATATGCTGTGCGTGTGCCAAGATTGCCATCTTGTTGTGCACGTCAATTCAGATGCTGCCTGTTCATCCTAGTAGTTAGGAGGCAGCCAGTTTCTTCAGAAATAGGTGCTCGGGTGAACCCCTTTGTCTGAGTACTAGCGTGTGTTCAATTTCTCTGCAACGGTATACCTTCGTACAATTCATTTCCTTTTTACTTATTTGTGTTCCTTTTTTCAGGCAGTACAAATTTTGTCATAATCGCCGTCCTTGTAGCAGCTTTGAAGGGAACATGGCACTTCCGCCAGGTAAATAGTAGTAGTACTAAGAACTCAGTTCACTTTGTTACTCAGTTGTTGTAAACATGACTGTTATTGCAAATCTTTTAATACAGCTGCTTATGAATGTTTAGTTCTAAAAAATTGGCTTAGTCATTGTCGTTGTCCAACTTGATGTTTCTTGTACCTTTACGGCGAATCACTCTTTTCACAATAATATACTTGAAACACATGTTCAACAGCATCTGAACGCTGCACTGTCTTTGATTACTTTTTCTTAGTTAAAAAATCCTTATTACAGTTGCAACTCTTTTAAGTTAAGCACGACCAGCAAGTTGTTTGTCTGAACCTTGCCTATAGATCGTTAGAGTTGTCATGAGTTTGATGCGTGTTTGGATTTAAAATAATTTACCATCCCTCGTATGCAGTTGAATTAGCTTGGGCATGGGTCTTACTGAATTTGCAGCAATGTGGCATAATTGCATCTCTGCACTGTCTATGCTCATAAAGTAGAAAGAATCATCTTACCACTTACATGCTACATTAAAAATTAAATCCTACATATGGTACCATGGTTCTCAAAGACTAGATGGAAACTGTATTCATGAGGTGGTGCAATGGTTATCCATACCCATTTAGTGGGAAATACAGCATCGGCATATGTCTGTTCCAATGAAATCTAGTTTGTTTTTCCATGTGGCAAAGAAATCAGGGAGTTAATACAGAGATTGGGACAGTATAAATGTTAAGGATAACCTCATTTCATTTGAACGAATATCTATCAAAGGATAGTGGTATTCCTCTGTGTTACCAACTGGATAATTGACGTGCCCATGTATTATTTTGAAGCAATGTCATCACAATTGTTTTTTAAGAAGTTCGTCCATTTCTGAACATAGACCCGTTTTTCCAGATCGTGTTGACAGTGCTTGTTATAATCTGGGGACTTCGTCTGGCAGTGTTTTTACTAATGAGGTATGTTACCCTAAAATATATATTCTGTTGATAGTTCAAAAAGCCCCACTGGACTATGTCTAGTGGAATCTCTTTTTTTTGTGATTTTTTTAAGACATCTGTTGCCTGAGTCAAAACATGTTGTTCTTGTTCTTATAAAAGTGAGTCGCTAATGCTTTGCTTTGCCTGATGGTGTCTAGGATTTTGCAATGGGGAGAGGACAAACGGTTTGATGAGATGCGCAGTAACTTGGGAAAATTAGCCGTCTTCTGGATTTTTCAGGTAAGTTTTGCAACTTATGTTAAGCAACTAGAGTTTGTTAAATGGTCATTGCATTTGTAAAGAGAACCTCACCAGGACTTTTATCCTGATTTGGGCAGGCTGTCTGGGTTTGGACTGTCAGCTTGCCTGTTACTATTGTGAATGCAAGTAGCAGAAACCCTTCAATTGAAGCTCGGGATATCATTGGTTGGATAATGTGGGCCATCGGGCTAGCTGTGGAAGCTATAGCTGATCAACAGAAGCTTAAATTCAAGAATTCTCCAAGCAATAGGGGAAAGTGGTGTAATGTTGGTCTTTGGAGTTATACTCGCCATCCAAATTACTTTGGGGAGGTCAGTTAATTTACTGTGATTATTCTTAGCATATATGTCGTCTATTAATTCCTTGATTTAGTTGGCCCGGTCTATGAATCTATCTATCATCCTTCATTCACTGCAAATCTGTTGCTCACATTCTCAATCCCGGATTCTCCTTTCCCTAGCATGCACCCAACATTACCCTCACGAAAGTGAAATATATTTACCTAGGACAGAGTTTGAAAAGCTGAGACGGTTCCAGACCTAATATAACTACTGGCATTTTAGGTTTCATTGTTATGGCTTTTAATTGTCACCTGTGTTTGAGCTTCACAGTTTTACTGCTATAAGCTTGAACTTCATAACTCACCAGTACAGCTAATATGATTGTATAACAAGGTTCACCGGCGTAGTTGATGGAAAAATAGTTATATTTAAATAGAAGTAAGGTGCACAAATTAGATACAGTTATCACATGCCTACATTAAGGCAGGGACATGATTAAGAGAGAAACCTATTGCTTAGAATAATAGGAAAGAGAAATACATGAACGAAATGCTACAGATTACGAATTTAATTCAGAGCAGGCACTTCTATGCACTTGTAGGTTTTAAGTGAAAGAAATGTACTGGTGGAGCTCAACTGTAGCATTTTCGTAATGCAATAGTTCGATAGTGAAATAGTAGCTGCACACATAAAAAAAGAACATGCTAGGTAACCGCTTCTGTAGTCTCTCCAATCACAGCCTTGAGCAAGCAAGTAATCTAGGCCAACTTTAGCTACAGAAACAAGTCTGCTATATTTGCTAAACCGAAGGCCTGCTGAGCTTCTCATGCTTTTTCATTATTTCATCGTGAATAGCCTTTTACTGGCAATAAATCCAAACAGCTACCTCAGTGCATACTGAATGTTACATCAATACAGAGTCCAAACACTAGCTCATTATGGAATGTCGAACAAATCCCGGCATACACTTGACAGTTTAATCTGATGCAGATGTTCCTTTGGTGGGGGGTGTTTGTAGCATCAGCACCGGTTCTCTCAGGAGCTGAATGGCTTGTAATCTTGGGACCCATCTTCCTGACGCTCTTGCTTCTTTTCGTTAGCGGGATCCCACTTCTTGAGGTTAAACTCTATTCTTGCGCATCCGAAACCCATCCCTAGTTTGCTGTATCTTTCCTCTGAGTGCTAATGCACCTCATCCTCTAAATTTCGCTGTGCAGTCATCTGCTGATAAGCGCTTCGGTCGGTCTGAGGAATACCGCACATACAAGAAAACCACAAGGTAAACACCATTCTTTTACTAGGTCATTCCCAGATCTCTCCCCAACCACTGCTTTGTCGCAGAGGGGTTACTGAAGTTTGTACCGGCTGTGTTCCTCTGCAGTCCTCTTATCCCATTGCCGCCGGTTGTGTATGGAGCCCTGCCCGATTGGTTCAAGGTGGCATTCCTCCTGGAGCTGCCCCTCTACAACCCAGGACCGGAACGCGACCCTGTCAGCTGAGTGATGAATGTGCATTGTTCTTCTGATCACAAGTGATTATACATGTAATGTACTGCTTTTATTCTGGATGGGTGATTCTTTTCCCATTGATTTCAAGGGGTTATAGTGAAGTTTGTCCATATGTATCTATCTCCCAGGATGTTCAAAAGCATAGTTTTTGTACTTGTCTTTAATAGGGATATTGTGTACTTGTGTTAATAGTGGAAAACTTTGGTTTTATTTTGTGCCCTCTTGTACCAAATCCTGTATGAAAGTCTGAATTTTCTCTAGTTTCTATGGGAATTTTACTCTTTGCCACGAACTCCGTTTGAAATTTCTAATTTCAAAACGGGCTTCGATGGTTTGTGAAGCTTGCATGAGTTCATATTTATCAGGATTCAGATTACAGCAAGAAGGATTAGCTTCTTAAGCTCTGAGAGAACTTTGACATGGCAATAGAATCTGCACGCAGTGCTGTCCAACACAATCTGAAACAGCATATGTCGATCATCTATCTACTGACGTCCGGCACGCCGGAGAGCCTCACGCCGGCGCGATGGACACCTTGTCGACCTGCACGACGTACTCCAGCGTCGCGCCGGGAGGCACCTGCGCACCGTCGTCGCCGAAGTCGGCGCCGTCCTCGCCGAAGCCCAGGCTCGCCGGAACGACCACCCGCCGCTTGCCGCCGTTCCGCATGGACCGCAGCGCGTACTCGATGCCCTCGCACATCCCCCTGGTGTAGGGCCTGGAGCCCATGACGAGCGCCAGCGGCCGCTTCCCGTCGCCGAACGTGTCCACGAACGCCTCCCCGCCGCCGGCCACCCGCCCCTGCAGGTCGATCACCACCAGGTCGCCCGGCCGCGGCACGTCGCCGCCGCCCACCCGCATCTCGGTGTACCTGCACCATTGCTGCTGCTCAGAGGAGCTACCCAAGAACGTACCTAGCTGGTGCCATGCACGCATGCTTACCGGATTCCATTGGGCAGGACGACCTCCTGCTCCTCCTCCACATCCCTGCGAGAACGAGACACACGACATGGGTGGCTTAGCTAACGAGAGCATGGAGGATGTTGATTAATGGAGGTGAGGGGTCGAGGTCGGTGGCTGACTTGGTATTGGCCTCCTGCTGCGCGACCTCGAAGCGGGTCTTGAGCTGCTCCGACACGACGCCGAAGGCCAGGAACCCGACCCACGCCAGCCCGGCGCCGATGCCGAACCGCCGCGTCAGCGACGACGCGACCCAGTCCGTCGAGTCGGCCGACGTCGCCGCGCGCTTCGGCGCCGGCGCCCTCGCCGGTGCCGCCTGCGCCTGCATGGGCTCTTGCTGCTGCTGTGGCGGCGGTGGGGGCTGGTCGGACGGCGGCTGGGCGCTGGGCGGGCGCGAGGGCGGCGAGCACGAGACGTGCGGCTTGGCGGCGGGGCGGGCGAGGAAGGCCGGGGAGCTGCCCAAGAACGTGGCCATGGCGGGCACCGGCGCGATGGGCACGTTTGCTTGTGTGTGTGATGGGCGAGACCGTACGGCGAGCAGAGCAGAGCAGCTGGGAGGATGGAACCGGATGTTTGGCTAACCTTTTCGTTGCTTTGCTTTCTCTATGTTTTTGAGATTTCTTTGGCTGCTTTTCGGCGGTTTCGTGGACGGAAACGTGGCCACAAACACACGCCGGCGACTGGACTGGGCAGCTCGAGAGGCTTATCCGGTTATCTCGTTGCTATACTTACTTCAAGCTTGAATACTGTTATTTAACAATGAATCTTCTCTTCTCTTAATGTCTGTATAGATGCCGGTCGGAAGAAAGCATGTATTATGTCCCTATGAAAGATTAAGAAAAGGAACCCCAGGATATACAACATATGAATAAGATGTTCTGCTGTAAACGGAGGCGGTTTTGCAAAAAACAAAAAAGAAACAAAAAATAAAACCCGAAGCTCCCGCGATCTGGCGGTGACGGAGGAGGAAAGTGGGTGAGATGGGGACGGCGCTTCCGGCGGGTCCGCCGGCTGGGAGGAACGCCCGTACGAGGGTGGGCACGCTTGAGGGGCCATTCAGTGTCCAGGGGTGGAGCGAAATCAAAGCAAGGTCGAGGTAGATATGCCGGAGATATGCGGATGGAAGAAACTTCGAGATAGGAAGAAACTTCAAGAGAGGATGGAGAGGGGGAGCTAGTCAGCGTGAGTTCAGGTGAGATCCAATCCAATCCGAAGGGAGAGGGGTCAGCTCGCATCTTTTTGGGCAAGAAGTTATCTTGGACGCGTCTAGGGATTCCCTGGAGGCCTGCCCGAACAGGAAAGTTCCTATCCCCCCGTATTGAAAAAAAGGAAAGTGCCCAGTCGACCCTCCCCCGAGATCCACTTCGATAAAGAACCCGGTCCCCGTCCCCCCTCACGTGATCCCCTCATCCCCACCTCCCCCCTCCTATTCCAGGCGCCAGCTGCCAGAGCATCATCCCCATCTTCTTCTCCCCCAAGAAAGGGCACAGTTCATCCTTCCCAAATCCAAAAGCTTCACAACCCTGCAATGGCGGCATCCATGAAACTGTTGATCTAAAACACCTAGAAAAGCAAGAGAAGTAAGAAGTCACAGAGGTAAAAATAGCAGATTTAGCCACCTTTACCCCCACTTTTGCCCTTATCCAACCCTGTAGAAATTGGCTCTTCTTGATCCAACATGCCTTTGATTTGCTACATCTGTGTTTCATCCTATTGCATATCAACACATTGTAAGCAACTATTGTGCCTTTTTTTTGAATTGGCAAGCTTCGCAGGATTGGACCAGCTCGGTGGCGCCGCAGAGCGTAGTAGGCCAATAGAAGCCGCTTCAGAACACCTTACCGGCAAGGATCCGGGACGAGGAGTGGTGCCTGCAATCACCTCTGTGGAGGTCGGCAAGCAGCTCCCATCCTTGCTCCTCCGAGATGCACCTCAATGAGACACCGTTGGGGCGCCTATGGTACAACTCGCCGTCCTACAAGCAGTAGGCTGTGGCTTGCCGGACTACGCGCTCCACCTCCGAGTCCTCCTCAGGGAGGGTGCCATGAAGCAGGTATGCCTTGAACTCCGATGCCCAGCTGCCGGCCTGTGGCTCCAGTGTTAGCAGCAGGCGGGCTCCTGAGGCCGGGCCACATCCGGCGCACCCCGGGGTGCCGCGGGCGGAAGTTCCTCGCGAGGTAGCACCGCGTCGACTGTTGTCAGTGTAGCTGATGGCCTGGGCAGCCTTTCTTAGAAGATGCCAGGCCTCTGGGGCTTACGACGAGATGCTCGCTTGGCGATGTCGCCGGCTTCCTTATTGTCGCTGCATGGAACGTGCTGCAGCTCCAAACCAAGGAAACGCTTCTCAAGTTTACGCACCTCTTCGAGGTAGGCCGCCATGTGCTCGTCCTTGGGCTTGTATTTTTTTGTTGGAGAAGCTGAAGAGGAGCTAAGAGTCGCCCTTGATGGTGAGACGCTTGACGCCCAGGGCAGACACGGCCTTCAGGCCGGATGAGGCCCTCATACTCCGCAATATTGTTGGAGACCTTTTCGTCGTGCCTGAAGCATAGCTGGACAACGTAGTAGAGCTTGTCTCCGGTTGGTGAGGTGAGCACGATGCCAGCCCTCACGCCGTATCTAGAGAACGCGTCGTCGAAGTACATGGTCCAACCATTGGGCGCTTCGTCCCCCGGCATGAGGGATTTGTCTTCATGTGTCTCTTCCTCGTACGGGTCCGTCCACTCCGCCACAAAGTACGCCAGAGCTACCGTGACGCCCCCGATTTGATCATACACTAATCATACACGCAAATGTGTATGATCAAGATCAAGGACTCACGGGAAGATATCACAACACAACTCTAGACACAAATTAAAATAATACAAGCTTCATATTACAAAGCCAGGGGTCTCGAGGGCTCGAATACACAAGAGTCAGCGGAAGTAATAATATCTGAGTACAGACATAAGTTAAACAAGTTGCCATAAGATGGCTAGCACAAACTGGGATACTGATCGAAAGAGGCGCAGGCCTCCTGCCTGGGATCCTCCTAAACTACTCCTGGTCGTCGGCGGCGGCCTGCACGCAGTAATAGGCACCTCCAGTGTAGTAGGAGTCGTCGTCGACGGTGGCGTTTTTGGCTCCTGGGCTCCCTCATCTGGCCGCAACAACCAGGTAAAAAAAGGGGGGAAAAAGGGGGAGCAAAGCAACCGTGAGTACTCATCCAAAGTACTCGCAAGCAAGGAACTACACTACATATGCATTAGTATCAAATAAAAGGGGTAGTATATGTGGACTGAACTGTAGAATGCCAGAATAAGAGGGGGATATCTAGTCCTATCGAAGACTACACTTCTGGCAGCCTCCATCTTGAAGCAGTAGAAGAGAGTAGATGGTAAGTTAACCAAGTATCAACGCATAGCATAATCCTACCCGGAGATCCTCTCCTCGTCGCCCTGTGAGAGAGCGATCACCGGGTTATATCTGGCACTTGAAAGGATGTGTTTTATTAAGTATCCGGTTCTAGTTGTCATAAGGTCGAGGTACAACTCCGGGTCGTCCTTTTACCGAGGGACATGGCTATTCGAATAGATAAACTTCCCTGCAGGGGTGCACCACATTTCCCAACACGCTCGATCCCCTTTGGCCGGACACACTTTTCTGGGTCATGTCCGGTCTCGGAAGATCGACACGTCGTAGCCCTACCTAGGCACAACAGAGAGGTCAGCACGACGGTCTAAATCCTATGGCGCAGGGGTCTGAGCCCATCGCCCATTGCACACCTGCACGTTGCGAACGCGGCCGGTAAGCAGACCTAGCCTCCCTAATACAAGAGCAGGCGTTCCAGTTCAATCCGGCGCGCATCGCTCAGTCGCTAACGTCAAGAAGGCTTTGGCTGATACCACGACGTCGAGTGCCCATAACTGTTCCCGCGTAGTTGGTTAGTGCGTATAGGCTAGTGGCCAGACTCAGATCAAATACCAAGATCTCGTTAGGCGTGTTAATTTGAAGTAACCGCGGACGCCAACCAGGGCCAGGCCCACCTCTCACCTAGGTGGTCTCAACCTGCCCTGTCACT